ATGTCACCTTCTGCACAAATAAACAAAATCATGTGAGTTGATCCATCAACCATAGAGCCATGGAGAGCACAATGAGTGATGCGGTCATCAAACCAGCAGCTGAACCAAAACTCAATCAAACCGGATGCACAATGCTAAACAAACCCGAGAAAGACATATGTTCACTGTTTGAAACCTACCAGCTAAACCACGATGATTCAACACATGAAACTACTTGGAGAATATTTTCAGCTCAATTAAAAGTGTCCTCAAAGAAGAATCAGATCAAAAAAAGTTCAAACAAAGGAGTTATCCAATTTACAAACCAGAGGATTCCCAATTTACCCGATTTAGACATGCGAGCATTTATTGGAAGATTCCACCGAACCAGAAGGATTTAAGCTACAAATCAACTTGCTATGGAATCTTGGTTCAACAAAGAAGCTTGTCGAATTGGATTCATGACTATACCAATTTTGGTTTAGGATATATTCAATTTCTAATCCAAAGGGTCATCGGGTTGTCTTATTTAGAACTTTTCAAGTTTGGCACCTCTCAATCATTTATATGGCGACCAGGAGAGTTTCCGTCTCATCTAGAGACTCTTGAAAAAGTTTATATTTGCATAAGTGATCAGAGAATCCAAAGAATCAAGCCTTGGTCACACTTTCTTTATTTTGAGTCGATCTCACCATTAATGCTCCAACAGCTACTACTCTTTATGAAGACGTTTTCTGCACTAATAAGGCTCCTTCATCATGGATCTATCACGAAAATCACAAGATACAAGCTACACATTCTAATGGCTAGTTTCATTTTTAATTCATATGATTTCTTTCCTTATCTCAGTTTCTAGTTACCGTTAGCATTAATTCTCTTTGGAGCTGTTTATAAGCTCGTGTTTCTTATCATTTGTAGTCACCCTTGAATTTTGAAAGTAATAAAAAGTTTGTTCTTTGTCCACAAAGTTTGAGTCTTTGTGTTGTTCTGATTTCATTAGAGTATAAGTGAGCGATTCACTTCTATTCTCTTGAAGCCACGAATCTGTTTGTTTGTGTGATTCAAACAATCTTATTCGTTCACCGATTGAGCGAGTCAATCAACCCATATCTCATTCGATCTCGACTACATTCCATCTTCCGCAAGATTAAGCTTAGAATCTCTTGATCATTGAATGATCATAAGTTGGAGTGATTCCAATCTTATATCATTTGGTATCAGAGCATAAAAGCTCCTATCCAAAGTTGTATCAATCCAACCTATATCTCTTTTCAATTATATTTTGCTTTTGTTTCATTTCATAAAATCGAAAATCATAAAAAAGTGTTCTTGTTTTTGTTTCATTTGGTTTCAAAATTTTTTTTAAAAAAAAATCGTTTTGTGTCTCTGATTTCTTTGTTTCATTAAAATCAAAAACTAAACAAAAAAAAATGCATTTGATTTTGTTTTAATTCATTAAATCCAAAAAAACCCCCAAAATAATTGTTTCTTGCTTTGTTTTGTTTTCATAAATTCAAAAACCAAAATAAAAATTTATTCTTATTGAAATATTTCGTCCTAACTCATAAAAGAATATAAAGTTGATTTGTTTCCACCTGTTTTGAATTCAAGAGGAAAAAATATCTGAAACATATTCTTTCTATATTTTTGTTCCTTGCAATAACTTTGAAATATTTTCTTGCTTGTCTTACCTCTAGAGCACGATTCTGAACATAGTCTCATTGTTTTACAAGGTACACTCACGACCATACGCAATGGAGTATGACTATTCAAAGGAAGAAGATCTTGATTCTGAGGAAGAAGATCTATACAAGAACGCATATGAAGACAATGGGGATGAGCAAAACCAGAACTGGTGGGAAGGAGATGATGATCATCGAGAAGACTCATGGACTGATGATGACGATTCTCATGAAGAATATGAAGAAGAACCGGGGTATGAAGATTGGATCCCAAACCACCAGACCGTAACGTAAGCCACTATAGTTGGTACGAAGAAGAAGCTTACAATGAAGACATGGTAGAAGAAGACCATGAAGGCGCTTCATGGTGTGAAGAGACTAAGTATCAAATCAATCTGAAAAAAGAAGATACCCACAACGATGAAACATGGCATGGAAAAGTCATAGAAGAAACGTGGGTTGATAAGGCTGATTCTGAAATTAGTTATAACGACGAACTAGAGTGTGAAAAAATTTCCAGCCAACACTCCTGGGAATATGAAGACATGAACGTGGCTGAGACTTGGGAAGAAGATGAGCCAGAACGTGGTGACATGGAAACAACGCCAGCAGAGCAAACTTCATACGATTACACCAATCAAGCCGACTCATGGGAACATTCAACGGATAGTGAAGGAGAGTCTGAATCACATCACATCTGTTTTTCAGGTCATAGCCAAGGACCAGAAGCATACTTAAGATGGGAGAGAGACATGGATAATTGGTTCCAGTCTAACCAAGTCCCCGAGGAAGAGAAGACATCTTATGCTGAAGACACTCTCACCGAGGATGCTTTTAGGCATTGGGAACAAGATGCTTATGCTCGTCTTGAGTATGTTGTACCAGAATCTTCTTGGAAAGAGATGAAGCAACTGCTGCAAAAGGAGTTCATGGAGGATGCTGCAACCAATCAACAATATTACTCAAAGATTTATACAAATCCCGAACGAAGAAGGTGGATTCTAGCAACAACGTCGAGTCCAAAAGCGAAGCCTAAGAAAGCTTACTGTCCCAAGCAAAAGAAAGTGTCTCCACACGTTTTAAAGGAAAACCCAGAGGCTAAGGAGCCAGCTGTGGTCAAGAGTGTCCTAGAAGATCGAACTCAACAAAAGCTAAGTATAAAGACGATCTTTAC